TTGCCCCACACGGAAATTACGCATATGTAGCTGTCTTTTTTATATGACATAATTTATGGATGACCCTCTAATGCTAATATAATCTATCGTGCAGCCACAAATAATTATTTTATTTGCAGGCGATTTAGCTAGCAGTTTAATAATAATATTAATAATAATAATAATAATAATAGTTTATTTACGGGAACCGCCATGATATTACAGAAAAACAAAATATAAGAATAATACAAAATAACTAAATTAGGTAAACTAACTTAAATAAACTTACACAGCGTGTGATTTAATTTAACAAAAAAACAATGTAAATAATGGTAACAATCAATACTGTATACCCAGCAATGAAAGTTTGAATTTTCTGAAAGATACCCCAAACAATTCCACTTCGTGAGAATTTGCTTCACGCGTTAGGCGAGCAACAGTCGATGAGAATCCATAATTTGTTCGATGTAATGGAATAAAGAACAGTGGATTACTTCTGAGACTTCTTTTAGGACAATTTAAACTAAAAGTATAGAACAAATCACTGGAAGATAAATAACCATCAAATAATTTGAAAAGAAATATTAAATCAGATTTTAGTCTTCTAGTCTCAAGCGAATCTAAAGAGAGTAGATTTCTCGTCTGGCAGTAAGTGTAACTATCTTTACTGTAACCCATTTTCCACGCACATGTTCCAAGAAAAGAATTTTTCAATTTCTCCAGCGACCTAATATGCACCAAATATGTGGGCGACAAAATCACACTGGCGTATTCTAGAACAGATCTTACCAAGGCACAGTAGATAAGCTTATGAGCATCGATTGAAAGACGATATAACGATCTATTAATTAAACCTAACATTTTTAAAGATTTACTCAGAACATAATGTGTATGTGGAACAAAGCTCAGTTTTTGATGAAAAATTACCCCTAAGTAGATTCAAATCACTCTGAAGAAGAGCACAATTCAGAGCTGATGATATCTCTCGAAATAATATAAGTCGTCTGCAAATAAGAGTAAGGTAAATGTCGTTAATAAAATAAAGAGATTAAATAATAAAGGCCTACAATGGGTTCCTTTAGGGACACCTGATTTCACAGAAATGGTGTTTGAAGACGAGCTTCCAATTCTAACAACCCGAGATCTATTGGATATGAAACTTTCAATCCACTGGACAAACAATCATCTCATCAAAATTCATAGTTCTTAGTTTGTGTACTAAGATTTTGTGGTTAACCCTATCAAAGGCTTTCTCCAAGTGCATAAACTGAATCAACTTGTTTACCCTTTTCTAAAGTATCAATTAAGAAATTTTGATACAAAAGCAAATTGGAGTGGTGGAACGACCTTGACTAAATCCGTGTTGAACTTATTATGTGCTTCGTAGCCATTTTTAACTGTATGGAAATTAAATGATCAAAAAGCTTAGGCAAAACCGATTGTATACAAATACCTCTGTAATTTGAAATCAATTATTTAGCCCCAGATTTGTGGATTCGAACAAGGTAACTGTTTTTCCATAGATCGGGAAATTTGCCAGAATACAGAGATCAATTGAATAAATAAGTTATTGGTTTGGTTATGCTAAAAACACATGGAATTAGAAACTGCGATGGAATTAGATCACAACCACTACTGGCCAAATTTTTTAAACTTAAAATACTGTTAAATACTTCTTCTTCGGTAAACCTGTGAAAAGTAAAGGAGACCTCACCTGAAACACCTATTCTATTAAAATGTATATTGTCCGAAGGATTGAAAGATCTGAGTAAATAAATTAACTATTGATTCTGGCCCAACGGCTTCCTCGCCATCAAATTTCATGCGACGTGGTTTACAATATTTGTTCGGAATACCTGTTTGCACAGTTGGTAGAATTGTGAAAGAAGTGGCGCCTGCCATTTTCAACGCACTTAAACATGAATATTTGAGTAAGAACATTATGACCAAAATACGATTGTAAAAATAAAAGAAATTAGTATGAATTAGCATAGTTTTAATGAATTGATTGATATATTATACACAAAGGGAATTTGATGTTTCTTTCATTGGTTTGGCTGGAGAAGGCAATGGTGTGTAGATGCACGATGATTCGTTATTTGACTGAATAACCCGTCTTGGGGATGAATAATTTGATGAGGCACCAGCATAATAAGCTGTGTCTTCTTCATCTACAATGCAAACGACGGCGCGACGAATTTCGTGTTTCAGTTTTCTTTTATAAAAATCAAATCGTAAACCTTTTAATTCCATTGCGACATATACACCAAAACGATAAATGATCATCTGCATCTGGAGCGTTCTGAAGGCTTGCTTGAACAGTTTGTCGTCTTCGTCATGCCTATTTTGCCGCTGACTAACTTCTTTTCGCTTTTTCCTTGAAGGTTTGTGTTTTATGCGGCTATATATTTCAATCTTGTTAAACAAATATATTATTTTCGTTTTAGTTTTCCAATACCACAACCCAATGGCTAAGGGCTAAGTATAGCAGAAACTTTTAATGAACGTTGGAATTTTCCAAATTGCAAGTAATGCAAGCTCCAAACAACAGAGGAAGTGATTATTATACTTATAAAGGAGCTCATAGCATTGTCTTATTAGCTATTAGGTGTCGCATACGCAAAGTATAGATTTACGCATGGTGGTGTTGTATGTCATGGGAGGATATCTGATGAAAGAGTCTTTCAGAATTGTTGTCGAAATGCCGGACTAGAATGTAGCGTTCTACAGTTGCCTAAACCTGCCCCCCCAACCAATAGAAAAATAGATGCATCCCATATTGTTTTGTTACTGACGATGCATTTGACATGAAAGCCTACAGGGCGCGCCGAATTATCGAAAATGTATTTGGTATAATTGCGAATAAATTTAGACTACTTCGGAAACCAATGAACTTACATTTCGATAGGGTTACAGACATTGTTCTGTCTATATGTGCAATGCACAATTTTTTATTGTATACCAATAATTCACGGGAGAATTATTTACATCCAAGATTGATTGATTATGAAGAGCCCGGAACGTATGAATTACGGCCAGGAATTTGGAAGGACGAGGCAATATCGGAAAATACATTTCTCCCACTAGAACGAGGAAATAAGCATAATTATAAAACTTCACAAAAAGAAGTAAGGGACGAATTTATGGAATATTTCGTGACACTGACACCTACTGGGAAAGTTGAGTGCCAGTATAAACACATTTACCACAGCATACGTCGATGACCTCTCTAGGTCTACATAGGTACGAGATGTGTACATAATACAATCTGCAGATAAACTACATAATTTTATTTTTCCTTACCTTGTCAACTGGTTCCATCAATTGCGAGGAATTTAATGAAGATGTTTTCATGGAAGATTGTGTGTAGTTTGCAGTCAAGACAGGTGTAAGAAATTGTAGGGCTGTAAAATAGGGCCACTTACTGACATAATTGTCATCACTACCATCCCAGCTATGTTTAGTGCGAATTTTCGTTAATTCTTGAGAGAGCTAGATTTTAGTAGTTATTATTATTGCAATAATATTAATTAAAAATGTAGGTACTACATTATTACCTGATTTCTCAAGTTGTGCATTTTTCTTTGTACTTCTTCCGGACCACAATGGAAGTTACATCAGCAATTTCGTTCCACAGTTTGTATTTTAATTCGCGATTTCTGTATTCCTTGTTCTGAGTATCCCAAACAACAGATTTTTCTTCATATTATGCAATTAGATCTGCAGTTTGCACTTTTGAGTAATTTTGACCATCCAACTGTGGCCATAATAAAACTAGCCACTCGCGGACAGCACTGTAGGTAAAATTATGAAACATTTTGCATTTTAATTTTGAATCTGCAAAAACGAATACTTTGGGATCTTGCAGATGCTTTAATGTTATGATAAGCATAATAAATTTTTATCCCCTCCAAAAAATTGATGACGTCAGTTTAAATGTGCAAAATATGATGAGTCTATACTTGTAATTTATCACTACATTAATATTTTTTTAATTTGCTTATACAATGTGAATAAAAAAAAATGAATAAGTGAACTTATTTTATTGATTAATTCAGGCACGGCTCACTCCATTTTCCCAGAAAATTTTGGGAATACAATACTGTTATTTTTAGTATTACGCGGCACCAATCCAAGTTGATATATGTGTCCTTGCAAAAATGTTGATGACGTCTTCACAAAAATGTGTAAAGAAAAAACTCAATTCGAAAATGCGGCATATGTTTCATTGTACTTTAGGTGCGAGGGAAGTTCTGTCAAAACAATTTTCGACCCATTTTTTGTATCTGTAGTTTTGCATATTTATGTATTGATTTTGTTGGATGCTGCGCAGTTCCAGGTGGGTAATACCAGAGAACACAGAGAAGCGCCATAGTTTAAATTAAATGACGGTTGCGGACTCCCAATTTATGTTGGTAGCAGTGTTTGTTTCTAACTAGGGATAAAAGTAACTAGAAGAAATGTCATAATATTTTTAATGACGCGTTTTATTTCCGACAAATTGACACTAAATTTACCAGAATATTACAAGCTGCTTACTGTTTCCTTGACTTTCATTCAGGTCACACGAATTACAATTATAGTGAAACAAGGTTTTTATGGGCGTCGACTATTTAAATTTGGCGCTTGCTTTTGGCAGTTGAGGACTCCAGTGTCAATAAGGGTGGTTTTGCAAAATCAGCCTCTATGTCGCTTCTCTATGTTCTCTGGTAATACCCTGTGACCATAGGTGATACTAAATGTATACATGAGCCAAATAATATTATTGCTATCAGTGTTATTTTCAGCAATAGTAGTATGTATTAATGACATTGCAGTATTTACACAATTTAAATATATGCTTTTGGTATCAACAGTCTAATGTGATCCGTAATTTTAGAACTGAGGGCACCATCTGTGTGCAAGTTGTCTAACCAGAATCGAACCAACTGCAACAAGTGAAACTCCACGCTGCAAGAAATTAGACTTGACGACAGTAGGTGGCGCCAGTTGGCTTTATCTGATTGCTTGTTATAGAGAGTGATGTTTGCCTTTAATTTCGTTAAAAATAAACGTATAAAAGAAATGTTAATATGAGTAATCAAATAGTGTCTTACATTTATATATTTTTAAAATACTAAATATAGTAGAGAATAACTCTTGCTAAGATAATCTTAGCAGCGTCTTAATTTTTACACAATGAAGAGGGGCGACATTGTTCCATGTTTCATCCTCATTTTAGACGTAAAATATGGTGGACTATTTGTGTTGTGGTTATATAGTTTGAGATATCTTACATTAATTGTACCAAACAACGATTTAAATGTGCTGTGACAGTTTTTGTTGTGGTGATTGTACTTTCCTTGTACATTAAGACTGGATTTTAGTTGGAATTTTCTTTCTGGGTAAGTTCCACTATTAAATACATCACTGCTATAATAACGTATCTGTCTACGGTCCCTTAAATTGTTCGAGTTTGCTATATTATCAATTTTTTTAACGTACAGGTAGGAATAATACTGCCGTACGAAGTAATGCTTGGGAAATGTTTCGAATCTAAATATAAAAATTTGTGGTACATTTTGATATACATTCTAAAAAGTGCATCTAGCTATATAAGAGTACAGCCTGAGCGCGTATTATTTTTGTCTATACAGGGTTATCATAAATGATTGTAGTCGAAGTAGGCGCTGACGCAATTGTTTTGATGTGCCGCTTCTCACTTTCAAAAAATTGTTAATTATAGTCCACTAAAGTTATGGGGAATTTTTGTTTTGCTTTGCTGTCAGAAGAATGTCATGCTGGTCATATGTCATAATACTTTCCCGCGCACGTCTTGTTTACTTGTGTTGTTCCAGTCTTCTTTGTTATAAATTAAATTGAATTAAACCAGTTTTTATCAAAACTACAACGATTTGATAACAGCGATTAAGGTAACTAGAAATGAATTAATGTGTATTCATATTTCAAATAAATCTGTTTTAGGTTAAGATGGGGTACACTCTTGAACAAAATACGTTTATTGTTATGTCTTACTATCGAAATGGGACGTTAAATGCGGACGGGGAATGGGTGTATTCTGTTCAAGCCTGCAAGGATGAGTATTTGGCAAAATTTCCAGAATTAAACATTGAAGAACAGTCTTTAATGACACACATAAAAAGAATCGTTGACCGATTCAACAGCACTGGAAATGTTTCTAAAGGCAAGTCACCAGGAAGGCCCCCAGTTAGTGAAGAGGTGGTTGAAGATTTGAGGGAAAGAATGGAGCAAAGCCCAAAAAAATCTTTGAGTAAACTGTCTTTGCAATCTGGTGTCCCATACACCACTTGTCAGAAAGTTTTAAAAAGAACATTACATATGCATCCCTATAAAGTATCGTCAATCCATGAACTTAAACCAGCTGATTATCCTCGTCGTGTTGCATATTGTGAATGGTTTCAAAACAACATGAACAACAACAGAATTTTGGATTTGTCATTTTTTTCTGATGAAGCATGGTTTCATCTAAATGGCTATGTTAATTCGCAAAATTATAGAGTTTGGAGTGCTGAAAATCCTTTTGTTTTTGAAGAAAGGCCTTTACACTCTGTTAAAGTTGGCGTGTGGTTAGCGGTTTCGCGTAGAAGAGTGATTGGGCCAATATTCTTTCACAACACAATTAATTCCGCAAGGTATAGGGAGCAAATATTAGAGGTGTTTCTAAACCACTTGGATGATGAGGAATTGGAATTTGGTTATTTTCAACAAGACGGAGCCCCAGCCCATAAAACAATGGAAAATTTAAGATATTTGCAAGAATTTTATGGGGATCGTATAATAAGTCAAAATCTTAATCCAGAGTGGCCTGCTCGTTCACCTGATTTGACTCCACTTGATTATTCAATTTTTGGATGGATGAAAGATAACATATACAAACATCGATTACATACTTTGGAAGAACTAATGGATGCAATTATACATTGTTGTCAAAATATTGATGTAGTGATGTTAGAAAACATTTTTGAAAACAAAAAAAGAAGGGTAGCTTTATGTTTACAGCAAAACGGGGAACATTTCCAGCATCTTTTATAATTGAAAGTAATTAGCTTTTGGTGAGTGATATAAATTATATAGCGACAAAGTATTAGGTTCTGCTTAATTCTAGTTGACAATGATTTAATAATGAATAATGAAGTATTTGATGAAATGGAAGAATTTGAATGCTTTGATGTTCAGGGAGTAACCTAATTAAAAGCTGATTATTTTCACAGTATGAGTGATTGCACAGGTTTTAAAAAGTTTCAGATGACCAAAGAAACAGTGATGTGTATTTCACCTTTGCTAGAACATCATCTAGAATTTTATGTAGATATGTAAGTGTAGAACTTACGTCAGTAATCAGAGATAAATATTTCACTTCCAGCAGTCAAAGTTTCTCTTCAATGAACTAACTCTTAATTGGTTTATGATATTTCGTTGGTAGAGCGCACTTAGACTGTACTATGGATTTTATGGACATTCATCAAACAATAGTGGTTAGAATAATTCCTTGTTCATCTAGCTCGTTTTCCAGACTTCATTGGCGCCTTGGACTGCATATGCACATATAAAAATTAAATTACCAGGTATATGAATTTTTGCTAACATAGAACATAAAAAATTAAATAGTAAAAGTTTTAGGTGGAGAAGATTCAGAAATTTTTAGAAATCAGGAAGATTATATCTTCATTAATGTACAAGCCATATGTGATGAAAGGATTAAATTTCAAATATTGTGGCACAATGATCAGTAGCTACACATGATAGTACTATTTTTAATCATTGTTCAGTTTAAGATCTGTTTGAAAATGCACAACTACAAAGTTGTGTGCTCTTGGATAGAATATTTTAAGAAAATTTTATTATATTATTATATTTCTAAGTAACAAAAGTTATCCCTTAGAAAAATACTTGTTAACACTACTCCCGTTACTCCAGTACAACAGCTCTATTATCAGTCACACATTGGAAGTCGCAATAGAATTGGATGCACATTTGGGATTCTGAAACGATAGTTTCCTGTGTTAACAGTTGTGATTGTCGCTGTTGTTTTACACAACATTTTAAAACAGATTGTAATATTAGACAGTAAAAATTTATTGGTAATAAAATAATTTTTTTTGTTGATTTCATTTATAGTGAAAAACATATTAAAATTTATTTATAAACTAGCAATATCTCATGTTATTGTTAACATTACATTAAAAATGAGCATCATTTAATTGAAAAGAGTCCGTTTTCAACATACTAAAAATGTATTTATAAACTAACAATATCTCATGTTATTGTTAACATTACGTTAAAAATGAGCATCATTTAATTGAAAATGGACTCTTTAATGTTTTACTTTGAAGTAAGTACGTTTAATTCAAGGTCTGGTTTTAAAACCCTTTTCCTAAAATTAAATTCTTCAATTTCTCGTTCCTTATTTTGTAGTTAACAACTCCTGCCCGAAATATTGCTTTTTTAATTTTGCCACTTCATAACCCTGCCACTTCTGTGAAATTATGTTCCCATGAACAGTCTCTATAACCTTTGCTCTTCTTCCACTGAACCAATTTTTAGTGTGAACTGTGAAGTTACTGATCTATTAGCTTTTTAAAATTATTTGGCATGTAACACGCCAGTGGTCCTGAAAATAAACAGTAATTTTTTTATAGATAACAATGAAATGTATTTTGAGGTTGTTGGTAAATCATGACCACAGAACACTGATTACCACCCTGTTCAACTATGCTTTTCTGTTCAACATTGGAACCAAGACTGTGATGTCATCTTGTACCTAAACACACAGGATTTCCTCTGCACAATCTTGGCTATTTGTTTGTTTGATGCTTTAATTTTCGTCCCCACTATGTGAAATGTACGTCTCCAGGCTCCACAAGTGTTTTGATTTGTGATGTCCGTAACTTAACCAAAACAAGGATCTATTGTTTCAAATACTGGACGTGGTCCTTTGCCAATCTTTCTTCTTTCGGCCTCTTCGTCTGCGGCTGTTTTCCGGTCTTCATTTTTCTTGTTCTCGTACCACTTTTTTTCAGATTTTTTGTCGCACCAGTAAATGACATCGTCCTTTTTATTTTCTATGGTAGCTTTGGATTCATATTCAAAAACTTAATCCATAATTAAAACCTCCTCCGGTGTACAACTGGTTATTCGGCATTTTGTTGTTCCATATTTTTTTTATAAACTGCACGAACACACGAGACACGGGGGCACGGACACAAATGAATTTACGTAACACTTCTAAGTGTTAAGTGAATGCCATGCAGTTAGGCCTAAACACTTAAAGAATGTTTTATTTATTTTTGAAAATAACCTCAAACAGAGCATGACATTTAATTAATAGTTCGAATTACTTCGAACCGTATTATGAAGCGGCAACAGCAAAAAATTCATTTGTTTTCAAAGCCAAGTTGACTACAATCATTTATGATGACCCTGTATAACATGGTATGTGAAATATTTGTACACCTTATTATTCAGGAGAGCGAAGTATATAGTCGGGGAATTTTGTCTTCGTTGATAGATGTCGCGTTTGTACAATTGTATATTATTAATATTTGGTCACCATGACTACCGAGTCAATTCGATAATAGTTGTCAAGTTTGTATGAGACTGACTTATGACTTGTCCATTAGCTTTTGGTTATAGACGACAAAACCGTAGGACAATTATTATCTGACGTAAATTGTACTAGTAATTAGTTATCAAGTATTTTAACCTTTGATTGTTTCACAAAATATTTCTTAAATGCTGTCAAAATTGCAATTAGATAAGATAAACCAAATAAATTAATTTGATCAGTATCATAATAAATATTTTTGGATATTATTACCTTTTGTAATACGAAGGCAGTCAAAACGGTTAGCAATACTTGATGATTACTTAAGATTGATTAATGGAATCCTTTGAAGTTCCAAAAATTTGTCATATTTTGCTACTTGTCGAAGTTTTTGGGAAGCCTAAAAATTGTGCACTGTAATAGCAAAATCTACAAAAAATCTATAAATAAATTCGGAATAAAATTTGACGAAGGAAACGACTAAGTTATGCGTCATCACTCATTCACTCATCAGAAAAAATCTGGCACCTATAATAACTAATTCGTCCTATACTTGCGTTTTTACTTTCCAAGCGTAAGCTAAGGAAGTATTGCAATCGAGTTCATCAGTCGACTCCCTACTTTTATGCTGTCTCGACCAGTCATGACCATGACGTATGAAGAAATGGGTCTCCCGTCTGTCCATTAGATCATCTTGGAAACTAGTATATGGTAAAACGCTAACCAAACATTTTCTAATCATCACCACCAACTATTTGATGACGTCATCTTAAGTTGTACATGATAATGGGTTTTAAATTGTATAAAACATCTTACGTA